ACTGAAGCAAACCTCTCAAGCCTGGTTTGGCAAGTTCACGCAGGTGGCAATGATTCATGGGCTCTCTCAGGCCCAATCAGATTATACTCTCTTGTTTCAGCATTCCTCTAGCAACCAAATTATCATTCTTATCGTCTATGTAGACGATATTGTGCACATAAGTAATGATCCGTCGGCCTTAAAATCTCTTAAAAGCATCCTCATTGCATCCCTTGAAATGAAAGAGTTGAGATCTCTCCGATAGGTATGGAAGTTGCCCGGTCCTCTCAGGGCATTTGTCTTTTCCCGCGCAAATATGTGATAGACCTATTGACATTGACCAACCTTCTACATTGCAAACCAGAGGTTGTTCCAATGGACCTCGATCAGAAATTTGTTGAAGTTCACAATGTTGTTTCTGTGAACAAGACGCATTGCTAACGTCTCGTGGGGAAACTCATTTATCTCACTCATATGCACCATGATATTTGTTACGCAGTAGGTAATGTAAGTCAGTTCATGCATGACCCCTATGAGCATTATCTCACAATTGTCCATCAGATCCTCCACTACTTAAAAAGGCACATTAGGCTCAAATTTGTTATTCTCGCGCCACACCTCTCGTTTTCTTGTAGTTTATACTGCACTGATTGGGCCGGTTTCGTTCAAGATTGGCGATCTACCTCAGGGTATTATTCATTTGTGGGGGGAACTTTGGTCACATGTAAAAGCAAGAAACAGTCGGTGGTTACCCGAAGCGGTGCAGAAGTCGAGTTCCCCTTCACGTCCTTTGGAATCTGTGAAGCGCACTGGTTACAGATCATGCTCCATGAATTACATATGTCAGTCTCCGATCCTCTACAGTTGTTCTGTGATAATAAAGCCGCAATTAGAATTACTCATAATCCGGTCTAACATGATCGCACAAAGCATATATAGATTTACCGTCACTTCATCAAGGAGAAGCTCGGTTTCGGGGAGATTTGTGTTCCATTTGTCCCATCCAGTGATTAAGTCACAAATATCCTCACAAGGAACCTTCCTCGACAGCTGTTTCATGACTTCAAATCCATGTTGAACAAGATTGACATCTATAGTTCATATTGAGGGGGAGTAAGTTATTTTATTAGAAGTTATTTCTATTTATAATATTGCATTTTCTGTTATTTCTTTTTATATATATTTCCTAGTTTATGCCTTTCTTTTTTACCTTTTAAGTGCTATTATGAAAGATTTGGGTATAATATTTTTCCTTTTCTATTGTATCATATATTTATACCCCTTTTGCTGCTCAATAATAGTATCCTTCTCAATTCCCAAAATTCTAAAAGAACACTAAGGAGATTAGTTATTTTGGTGTTCAATGTGCAACTTGAATTTCTTTTGAAGATTACTATTTCAAATCCCAAATAGTGTATGTTATCTAAAAAAAAACATGGATTCAAAAATACGGATTGCACATGTAGAAGTTAGATATGAATAATGAAAACAAAACAAAAATAAATATCACCAAGCATAACCAATATATAGGTTTATATGACCAAACAAAAGTTTTGAGTTAAGTAATATTAAATCCAGTTCTGAAATTGTAAACTCAAGTGCAAAAGTTAGATGAAGTTTTAAAATACGAAAGAGACTAAAAACTGAATTCAAACAAAAGACATGCTGATGTGTATGTTGACTCTTACAAGAAAGCTTTAGACAATGTGACCACTAACAAATTTCACTCTGCAAAACTAAGCACATCAGCATGCATATCCTTCACCACAAATCATATGAATCAAGCAATATATAAAAATAAATAAGTGCAAGAATTGCAAAACTATAAAAATACGCACAACTGATTTTTACATGATTCAACTACTTTCAAGGCTAACATTTATGCCTAGCTAACACCTTAAGCAAGATTTCACAATCTTGTGCCTTAAGCACTAAAACGAGATGGAGAAAGTTTAACACTAACACACTTTCCTCCACAGTAGAGTGCAATTTAACATACTCTCCCAAATTGTGTTTTGACGATTATCGAAGTCATATAATAGTGAACATGAGCTTTAAATTGTTAAAGAACTCACGAATATACTTTAGACGCCAAAACTGTCATTACAAATGTTTCTACAACCACATAAGCTAACAGTCAATTTTTGCCAATCTAGCTCAGACAACCTCACATGCTGAAATTCCCTTTAAAATTGGCCAAAATTCGCTTTTTAATTACTAAATCATATTTGAATTTTACATATGAAGATTTTGCTGAATTGGAATCAAATTTGATTGAGTTCTGGAATTTCTACATTTATTTGAATTTTACTTCAATTTTTATAGAATTTTTTGAACTTAAATTCAAAAAGCTCTAAGCACCGTTTTTGTGCTGGGGTATGTTATGACATTGGTTAAAAAATAATACTTAAACTCGTTAAAAAGCAACTCAATGGACCTATTATGTGTCCTGCAGTTGATTTTTATTGCTTGTAATTTCTATTTATGATTTATAAACCTTACAGGTAAACCTAATCAGTTATCCAATGCTTTTAAAACTACATTTTGTTGCCATAATTGGTTCTGACATAATGAAATAAAAATCTAAAGCACTTTTTTATTTTTTTTCCTATAAGAATTTCTTGGAGAACTACTGCGGCCGAGCTCCTGTTTAGCGTCAAAACCTTTTTCTTTATTTCATAGAGGAGTTCTTGATTTTTCTCTTGTCAAATCAAATTAGATGCAAGCAAATAGACTGCATTTCCAATCTTCTAGCCAGTTTACATCATTCAAAAGAACAGTAAAATGAAAATTCTTTCCAATAGCTATTTTCCAATTTTCAAAACCTCCTTGGAAAATTTTGGTAACAAGGAAACTATTGCAAATCACGTTCTCATTGGACAGCAAACTACCAAGCTTTCACAGAAACTCAAATTATTGTTAGATCTAATTAGAAACATTTATTCTCATTAACTTTTAAATCCATTACAATCACAAAATCTATAAGAATCCAAAGGGTCTATTTTTCTTTTCTAAGAGGTATTCCTCACTAAAAGCTCTAGTGTTATAAGACTGAATAATGCTCTCATTCAAGTTTATTTCAGAGTTATTCTAATAAATTTTGCATGCACTTAATTTTCACAAAGTCTGAAAAGTAAAATTTTAAAAACTTACACTGAAATTCATTCCATGTGTTTTCCTTTAATTTCCATATTTCATTTCTAACGCTCTAAGCCGGGAAGGTGGTTTACCCAACAGCATGGAACGTGATGAAGGGATTGTCTTTAACTTTTGAAATAATTTTCAAAACTCAACATCGATATAAATATCTTTTCTACCCACAAAAGCAATGTTTATTTATAAATAATTATAAACAAAAAGTGTTAACAAGAAAAAATACATAATATTTATTGTATTAATATAATTCATAATATTATTACAACAAACAAGCATAAATGATAACCAGTAAAAAAAGATTAGGAAGGAAAAATTGTGCGATCAAAACTATCCAAACCAAACAAATCTACAAATAAAATTGTAACATAAACTTAAAATGCCAAATTCTACTCCTGAAAATTTTTCCCCAATGATGACGATCTATCAAGTATCTTTGCAGAATCAGTCAAAAGAAAATTTTATAATTAATGCATTTGATATCTCAAACTTAATCACTATTATCTATTAAGATATAAATTAGTATATATTGAAGCGTGCAGGATAAATAATTTAAGAAGCATGATTTACTATATAAAAGCAATAATGTGTCATCAAACTATCTGGTTAGAGTAATATTATATTGCAGAAATGAAAACTGTCACTCATTCTATTATGATTTTCGGTATCATAATGTCTATAATCATCAGTATGAAAAAACAGAAGCAATATAATAATATCCTAAATCCTTATATATAACCATATCTAGTATAATCACTCATACTTGACTCACTGGCCGTTTATAATTTTATTTTATACAAGTTTACATATTTATGATCAACTTTATCAACTTCGAAACTTTGAAGATAAACAACAAATTATGAAAATCTGATAAATTTTTAATCAATTTATCATTTTAGGGCTCACCAGCTTTGAATATCCAAAAGAGTTCTATTGACCTACACAACTGTACGTAGACATGATTTTTATGCATTATAGGCAAATTCTTAATAGATATTTTAAAAATAATATGACTGTATGGCCAAAACTGGTCTACTCGAATCTAGAGACAATCTTCTAGTCTAGATAAAGAGACCAAAGTGCCCTGTATAACTCTCTTTAAAGCAAGGCTAATATTATAATTTTGTGATTTGTCCTCTCTATTTTTGATAAATAAGAGCATTATAACATGTATTCGGGGCTTTTGATACCCCTTCCTTATAACCCAAATATTTAGTGAAGTAAAATGGGTCTAAGAGCCTTGGGAACACCCCATTTGCTCCTACGGGGCAAGTCTTCCTCTCCCTCTCTCCTTCTTCTTCTTATTTCTCTCCTTCAGTCCCTACACTCTATTCCTTGGGCACAATCGAATAGATTTGGATTCAATATCCTAAACGATGTAGTGGAGTGTGGATTATGCCATAAAAAAGAAGAACAACACCGAGGAGAAACTTTTCATAAAAAAGAAAAAAAAACTCCTTGCAAAGAGCACACAAGGGGAACTACCACATTAGCGGATTCACTGATTCACTCCATATATTCTTTGTTCTCAGCGATCTCCAATGAATGACATCTATTTCCCCGTAGGTCTAGCGAAATCTCTTAGCAACTCATCAAATTTGAAGACTGAGGCATGTTCAAAAATTGGGTGCATGCTCTCCCCTTCCAGATCTAGAGACATACTCTTCTCCCAATCGGCGCTATCTATCGAGTGAAAGTCTGCCCCACACTAGCTGTCTCCATGTCGGCTTTTCTATCGCACAAAAGCCGTCACTCTACCGACCCTATCAGTCGCACGGAAACTCCCCAATGCTAGTCGTCTCCCAGTCAATAATATTTGAAGCGCGGAAACTCCCCAACGTCGGTTGTCTCTCAGTCAACCCTAATTGATGCATGGAAACCTCCCCAGTGCCAACAGTCTCCCGGCTGGCTCTATCAGTCACATAAAAGTTCCTCCGCGTCGGATCTCTCGCGCCAACCATGCCATCCGGCTGGCCATCCCATTCAATCGAATATCCGTCATCCTTCCTCCAGTCGGCTTTCCTGTAGCTTGTAGGGTTCCATCACCTTGTTGCTGGCACAGAATGCGACGATGGTGTAGATGTTCCCGATAGCATCTTCCATAACCAAAAAGGCCTAATTGTGCATCTTCTAGATGCCTTTTGAGAAATCGGTGAGCCACATGTTCAACCACGAGTTTCAATCAATAACAGAAGGAAAAGCATGTGCCCAAAGGCAAGAAGGCACTTCACAAAAACAGAGGGCCATCTCATTCAACCGGGCATCTCATTCAACCTCCCAGCAACCTACCTCATACGGTCGAACACATCTAACAGGCAACCACCTCAAGCCAATGGCCGACAACCTCGAGCTCATCGTTCCCGTCCCAACTAGCGACGCATTTTCCGATTGCTCGGTTGTTCGAACCACCCCAAAGGCAGTTACCAGGAATGCATATATATATATATATATATATGATTCATGTATATATATATGTATATGGACAAAACCCTAATCAACGATACCGTAAAAGAAAAGGTATGTTTGGAACACCTTCCTCGTAGCCGGCGTTTGGCTCTCCATCGCCGACCCCGGCCTTCGGCACTCCCTCCACAGAACTCACCTTTGGAGAAAAAATATTACATCAGTACTACGCACGTAGAGGAACGTGCGTACCCAATGAAATCACGCCACGATATCCCGCACGGCGCAGAAAAAAAACGGCGCAGTAACACGGGGAATATTCCTCCCCGTGTTATTCATGTGTTATTGTGTGTTATTCATGTGTTGTTGTATCCTGAGAATATTATTGGTGTTATAATAACACAATAACATATGAATAACACATGAATAACACACAATAACACAAGAATAACACCAGAGAGAATATTCCCCCGTGTTACTGCGCCGTTTTTTTCTCTGTCGGGAATATTTCCCGTCTTATTCAAGTGTTATTGTGTGTTATTTATGTGTTATTGTATCCTGAAAATATTTTTGGTGTTATAATAACACAATAACACATCAATAACACATGAATAACACGCAATAACACATGAATAACGCGCAATAACACAGGAGATAATATTTTCCGTGTTACTGCGCCGTTTTTTTTGCTCTACCGTGCGAGATGTCGTGGCGTGTTTTGATTGGCTACGCACGTTATTTTTATGTGCGTAGTACTGATGTAATATTTGATTGGCTCCATCGCCGACCCCGGCCTTCGGCACTCCCTCCACAGAACTCACCTTTGGAACCCCATCTTCCACTCCTGCCTTCGGCACCCCCTCCACTCCATCATTCGCGCCGCCATCCTCTACTCCGGCGTTCGGCACTCCATTTTCCACGCCGGCATTCAGCACGCCTTTTTCCACTCCGGCGTTCAACACGACGTTTTCGACACCGGCGTTCGGGACCCCATCAACGCCGGCATTCGGGACCCATCAACGCCGGCGTTCGGTTCCACTCCCTTTTTCCAACAACCCCAACAACTTCAACTCTACAGCAGCAGCAGCAGACATCCTTCTCCTTCTTTCCTCAGCAACCGCAGCAGCAGTTCCCTTCTTTTGGCTTGCAGCACAATGCGCAGATCACCACGCAGATGGCGCCTGTCGCTCCACTCACTCTGTGTCTCGCTGACCGTGACGACCTGGTGATCGTAGATGCCTACAAGGAAGAACCGGCCAATCCTAAATATTCTTTCAGGCATTTGCTTTTTAGTGTGACTGATCCGACAGCTAGGGTGAAACCTGTTGGTGTTTGTGATATAAAATGGGCGGAGGCAATGGGGAAGCTGGAGGGAATGGGGAGTGTGGATCGGGAGAGACTGTGGCCCGAGCTTGTTCAAGGAGTCAAGGGCCTTTCAAATCGAAGCAAGATTCAGGATGAAACTATTGTTTCGTATGCAGAAAGGTTGCAGAAGACACAATCTAATGTCAAAAAGCTTCAAAGGCATATCCAAGCAGATGTATTTCCTTGGGTCCAGAGGTTGCAGCAGAAAGAGCAATGCCTTCAAAGGCGTCTATCGAGGGTTGTGAGAATAATGGAAGCATTGGAGGGCAGAGGTCTACGGATGCCTTTGATGAAAGATGAACAAGAGCTGGCTGATAAGTTTGATTCCATAGACAGATTAAGGGACCAGGAGGAGAGCAGTCCAGGAAGGTTCATAATCTGCTATTGCTATCTATAACTCGAGTGCAAGCCAATGGCGGTGGCATCGGAACTAGCTATCATCTCGGTTCTGTCAAAATTGATGAACAAAGCCTTGCAGACTTACAAGAGGTGTTACAGCAACAGACAGAAGCAATTGCGAGATTGGGGAACGTGTTGAAGAAGGATACGAGGGACATGGAAACTGAGATTCAACAATGACTAATGACTAATGATTAAGAGCCCTCAGAACACCTAATTCGCCCCTACAACGCAAGTCTTCCTTTTTCCTCTCTTCTTTTCTCCCCCTCGGTCCCCATGTTCTTTATTGGCCATGATCAAACAGATCTGAATTCAACAATGACTAATGATATTTATATATTAAAAATTCCCATGTTTTCAGAAACACCGGTTTAGGAAAATTTCTATTGATTAAAGATAATAACATTGTATTTGGCTGATATATGAATGTAACATAGATGAAAACCTTAGACATATAATATGGAATACATAACCTTAGACTTCATGATCTTGAATCTTTCCACTTGAACCACTTAGTCCTCAAAACTTCAAATACACGAGGCTTGTCTAAGGAGTCGTAATCATCATCATCCACATCATCCTGATGGTTACCACTTATTCTGTTGCTTAGTATTTCTTTATTGAACAATAAAAATTACTTAATAAATCATTAGACTACAACAAACATGCTCTTATGTGTCGAGCATATAAAAATCTGACCAAATATAAACCAAACAAACCTAAATCTGGAGGGAAAAAAAAGTGAAAAACATACATTTTAGGTCTACCAAAACACATTTTAAAACTAAGGAAAACACAAGTGGAGTTGCATAAGAGTTGATGTCCTTGGTTGAAATTAAGGTTTGGTTACCTTAATGACGAGAAGGAATTTTGATTTAGAGGTTAGCTTGCTGAGTTACAACCAGAAAAGTCCTTCATGAAGGATTTCGTAAACAAACTTTCCGCCATTGGGTTTTTTACAAGCGATTGCAGAAATTTGAATATATCATCGGCAAGAAGAACTGAAATAGAGGCACTAGAAGTGAAACTTTTATATCGAGAGGGTAAGGTTCAGTAAGAGCAGAATCTAGACAAAATGAGTTCGCCCGCATCAGTTGGCTCCAACGTGAGAGGACTTGTTTCATTACTTCAAACCACAAGCTTGAAAGAAAACTGCAAATTTAGAGTGATAAGAAGACTCGAAAGGGGAATGGTGGATTCTAGGTTTTAGTAAAAAAAATTAATTAAGACAGGCGTCTCGGCCCGTCCGAAACCCGACCCCGCCCAAGACGAGAAAAAGTGACTTTTTGTCCGTATAGAATCCTGCCAAAAAGCCTTAATGTCCTACTTTATGCCTCCGCCAATCCAAAATAAGAGGATTCTGTCAAGCTGGTGCATTGGATTTCTCGGGAGAGAAAATGTAATTATTAAATAATGTGGAGAAGCTTAAATCAGAAGTGAGTTTGCTTTAGTTTAGGGTTTATTTTACTGTTGCATTGCATTGTTATGTGGATTCTAGCTGGTTTTTGTTAGTTGTTCTAGTTTATAGTTAGTGTGGTGTTATTTCTGGTGTTATGCTGGTGTTTAGGTTTGTTATTTTAGTTTAGGTTATTATAGTGCTAGGGCTGTGTGTTTTTTTGTTTGTTTTAATTATGGTTTTGTGTTGTATTATTGTCGTATTATTGTTATTTCATTAAGGTGTTATGTGGTATTATAGTTTAGTTTTTCTAGTGTTATAGTGGTGTTATTGTTATTGTTTAGGGTGTAGTGTTATCGTTTAAAGTTTAGGAATTATTTTGTAATAGTGGTGTTATTGTTGTATTTTTTTGTATTATTATTGTGTTATTATCGTGTTATTGATGTGTTATGTGATGTTTACGTTTAGTTTTGCTAGTGTTACAGTGGTCTTATTGTTATAGTTTAGGGTTTAGGGATTGTATTGTTCTAATACTGTTATCTTTGTAATATTGTTGTATTATTCTCGTGTTATTGTCGTGTTATTTAGGTATTATGTGATGTTATAGTTAAGTTTTTGTAGTGTTATAATCGTGTTATTGCCAGAGCTTAGGGTGTAGTGTGTTATTGTTTAAAGTTTATGGTTTGTATTGTCCTAGTAATGTTGTTGTTGTATTATATTGTTGTATTATTAAGGTATTTTTGTCGTGTTACTAAGGTGTTATGTGATGTTATTGTTTACTTTTTCTAGTGTTACAATGGTGCTATTTTTTAGGGATTGAATTATTGTAGTGATGTCAGTGTTGTACTATTGTGGTGATGTTATTGTATAGTTTTTATAGTGTTATGATGATGTTATTGTATATTTTTTGTACTGTTATTATTTGCTTTATATCTATCTGACTATTTTTAAAAGGGGGTGGTGATGTGCAGTGTAATAATCCAATCGCAGAGACATTTCTTTGTACCGCTGTGCACAATGATCAAGAAGCATACGATTGCTACTGTGCTTATGCACATCATGTAGGTTTTTCTGCTAGAAAGGATCATAACAGCTATTGGCCAAACTTGAAGAACATTAAAACTAAAGATTTTATTTGCCGAAAGGTTGGCCGCAAGAAGGAGACAAGCCTGACAGATACTGTGAAGTTTAGAAAAGCTGACACAAGGACAAGCCATGGTTAGATATGCCATCAATGTTGAAGGAAATTGGATTGTTAAGAAATTCATTGAAAGCCATAACCACCCTCTTACCGAAAGTGGTGATAAATATCTTTTGCGTTCTAACAGAAAGATAAGTGAGTTAAATGCTGATTTGCTTAGATCAATGACAGGAGCAACAAATGCATATTACTTTTTGGCCACGGAGATTGGGGGATGGAGAAAAAAAAAACATTTTTAATATCATTATTAGAAAAATTTTGATTTAAACAATCATAATCATTCCCAGAAACTTTTTTGTTGACATGAAAGGTGTGATCACTTAAAACAACATCCTCACTATTCTCATTAAGCAAATAATAGTAAAAAGATATAGCTTTGTTAGCAATATCATCATGGTTCTCAGTATAATTATTATTAACTAAAATTTCTTTATTAAAGTTAAAATTACATCTAAATTTAGCTCTTTGAAAAAGAAATTTAACATCATCCTCACCCTTAGATAGCAAAGTAAATTTAGTTGTTTGCTTAGCCAATTTAAAATCTCAAGTAGTAGCTTTAGAGATACAATTTTGTTAGTAAGAAGCTTGAGTGAGAATACGTTAAAGAAACAAGAAACATCAAGTTGTAAAAAGAATCAAATTATGTCAATTTAAAGCTAAACAATATGTTTAGATAAAACATCTGTTGTTAACTCATAAGAGCATTTTGACCTCACTTTTTAGAGAACTCACCTCACCTACTGCACATGACCCTAGACCAGAGTTGTGTTTTCTTGGGCCTCACCAGTGCAAGCGAAAGCCTTCAACCCTTGGTTGAGTGGGTTTAGGGTTTTGACCAAGTGAGGAACCCAAATTGACCACTGACCGACTTCTTTTTGTAATCGACAAATATAAGAATTTGATGACGCTACTAGAAGATTTAATTTTCCAACAACAGTATCCAAAGACTTGATCGCGACTTTATAGATGTTTCTGATTTGATTAAGTTGTATAATTATAATATTCAATAATTTTAAAGTTGAATTTGTCAACGCAAGTATACGTATCGCTCAAGTAATATAGGGCTCTAATGGAGTCCTAGATATCGATCCCACAGGGAGTGTTTTAGAATCACAGACTAATATTTTTAGAAAAGCAAGACTTTAATCACAACAACGATGTTCAATTTGCTTATTTGTCACTAATAGGCAATTGAAATAAATAGATAATTTTAATAACTAATAAATAACTAATGATATATAGTAGGGTTTAATTGTGATATTCAATATATAAACAAACATCATTCTCCTTGTCAAGAAATTATAGTGAATGGATAAAATGAATTAGT